AAAAAAAAAAAAAAAAAAGAAAACAAAAAATTCTGGATTAATAGACAAAATTTTACTACTGTTTTTCTCCTATATTTATGCTTCACTTGCTATTGGTGCATACTATGGTTGATTTAAACTTTTTAAGTGACTGTAGTAATGAAGACACACTTCTAAAGTGCCACATTGCACAGGCATGTGCTTATGCACATACCTCTCATATAGAGAGCTTTCTTAGCTAATGTCCTTCCCTATTCACCCATACACTCGGAGATTCATCAGTGGAAATGGTCTCAAAGCATCCATAGGCAAAGCAGGAGAGAGGGCAAACAGGTACTCACTAATTCCTAACTAGTTCTTGAGCCAAAAACACAGGTTAAATCTTTGCTTTAAAGGATTACATCTCTTATAGTATAATGTGGTAAGACTACCTCACATTCTGTGCTAGAAATGAGAGCTCTTGATATTTTCTGTGATCAGTAACTGGCAAAGCCACTTTGGTTGCCACTACCATCTGGCTGAGATCACACTGAGGCTACTGCAGGAGGTCAGTGGTACCCACAGGAGAGAGGAGCATGAAATGAGTTAAAGCCATGCTCAGCATAAGTAAGAACACTAGGAAGACATGGTCATAGGACACCAAAGCAATTCCCCTGTGAGCAAGCAGAGCACATGCTCATGAATGAGAGTCAGGGCTGGTGCCTGTGGTTCCTTACATGGCATAGATGGCAAGCTCAACAGACTATTTTGAGTTTTGATGAGAAGGAAACAAAGGCCTACAACAAAATATGGAGACTGTGCTCTGATGGTACTGACTAGCAAACACCTGCTTGACTAAATGGCAGAATCCATTCCCAAATACATTCTTTTTTAAAAAATAATACATTTCAGACTAAACTGATATAAACAGAAAATTTTTTAGTGCTTAAAGAGAGTGACAATGCTGCCTCTTGGGCCATTCCTGCCCACAGGTCTTGCTGGGATGTGTGTGTGGGCCTGCAAAGACTGCAAAGTAACAAAGGCACATCTGGATTCCTATAAGATTGTCATTAAAAACCTAAACTTTTATCATGCTTCCCTGTCCTGTTCTTTTTGATATAATAGCCTGATCCAATTAATAACAACACCCATCTCTGAAGGTCATGTGGCAAGCAGCAAGATGAAGGGGCTGTCACTAGCAGAGGCAATTGCCTGAGTGCCAGGCCCACAGCCCTCACAGCACTCACTTTTAATTTCAATATAGTGCCATTTGGACCAGGGGGAAAAAAAGAGTTGTTTTAAAATTAATTACCTTGTCAGTAGCTATTATGATTAAAAAGTAGGCCCACATCAATATCATGTGCCTAATTTAAAAAGAGAATTACAATAAGAGCCATAAAAATCAATTTTTTTAGGCCTAGAAATGGTATCTCTGGGTTTGACAGGTGATTCCAGGATGCAATAGCTTTGTTGGGGAAGTTCTGGATCTTCTCTACTTGGTCAGGGCCGCATCTACCAGTGTCTGGCAGATACTATAACTCATGATGCAACAGGCTCAAGACTTCAAGAGAAGAGCCATAGATAACAATTCAATAATTGCAAAACTTCCAGCAGTCACTTTCCTTTTCTCTACCATGTTAACAAGAACCCCAAGTGGAGCTTCCAGGTGCCTCAGGGCTCTGTGGTGGTGAAAGGGGTCCTCTGGAAAGCACCTATAAATAGTCCCACTGGGGCAATAAAAAAACAGACTTTCACATAACTAGGTTTTCAAATTTCTTTTTAAATTTTATCCCAAGGTACATAAGTGATTTGGAAGATAATTACAATATGGTAGGAAGTTGGTTTTCTTTTGTTTATTTTTTTAACCAGTAGCCATGATGCTAAGATCCTGGTACTATACTTTTAAATGCACAGTCTGTGTACAGAGATTGGCTAAAGTTAGTTTGCTTCCAGGATGTGGGAGAGATCATGTCAATGGGTCACTTTTAAACTGTCAGCAAAACCACTGACAATATAAAATTGCTAAAATTATAAAAAATATCTCAACTAATTGCTAAAAATTTCTCTTAATCTTAAATCATCTAATCAACCAATTTGTCAATACGTGTTTAAGCCATTTTAAATAAAGTCCCCTCCAACTAAAAGTAAACTATGACCAGTGTGAAAGTGTCCTTAACTTCGCTCCTCACTCTGCTTCCACAGGGACCCCGGCAGGGACCTTGCCAGCACAACCCTCATGCTCAGCCTTTTTGCCTGACACTGCTGAAGCAGAGCAAAGAGCAAGAAGCTGACTTAGCATCAGCTGAAAAACATTAGGCATGCCCTGTAGTGGCTGAGCAGAAGCTCAGTAAAGCCCCAGCTACCAATATGCCCCTATGTGATTGGAGTACTGGCTCTTCCTACATGGGCTTTTTCCTGTCCTGGTACCTCCATGTCCACCTGACTTATCCATCCCAGCAAACCAGGGGTGCTCCCAAGGCTAACTACCTCCACTGGGAGCTAGCATAGCCCAGAAGTGCCTGTTTTTCTCCATTCAGATAGAGGTCTTGTGTGGCCAGGTCACCCCAGGCCCATATCCAGTTGCTATGGCAGAGCAGGTGCCACCCATCCTCTGTCCCCTGAGACTGAAGTCAGGCAGTGCCTTCCTGGCCCATTACTGCCATGGTCCCAATCATAGTAGGAGGTGCACAATCCATAGCATTTATATGCAAAATGCCTGGAAATGTCACCGAAGCTAAGTACATAGCAAAATATAGCAACAGCCTTGAATATCAGAACTTAGACAGATATTCTGGTCTGAGTGAAGCTTCAGGGGATGATGCATTAACTATAAACACCACTCTTTCCCCAGGTTATGCCTACATGGGCTGATGCTCATGTCCTAAAATGTCACCTCCTATCTTAACTGGCTGTGGCCTAAACTCAGTGACTTGTAAGAAGGATGTCACAAGGCTCCGCTATGGGTTGAATGACCCTCCAAATTAAATTCCTATGTGGAACCCTTTCCCAGGTCATTGTATTTTGGAGATGGGACCTTTAAGGTGATGGAGGGAAGGAAAATAGGCCCTGACTCCAACGACTAGTGTCCTTAAGAAGAGGCATCAGAATGCTCATTTTTTTAACAACATGAGGACATAGCATCCACAGACCACGAAAGAATCCTAGCCTGCCTCTGGTGCCCTCAGCTAGGACTTAAGCCCCTAGAACTGTGAGAAATTTCTGTGGTTTTAAGCCCCCAGTCCACAGTTGACTAGACAGCATCCATTCCCAGGGTACTTACTAAGTGATGACAAAGGAACAAGACAGAGAGAGAGGATGTTAAAAACATACCTGGACTCTGTAAGCTGTTAGTCAAGGTTCTTCATAACTTGGTCCCCACTTAATTCTCTAGCCCTCTAGCAAAAGGATAAAATTAGGTGTAATTTTTAGAAACTAAAGTTATTTCTTCTGGATACAGACTGACTCATTCACATACTCATGATGTGTTGAGCAGTTACTATGTAGGTGGAGCAATTCAGGCCCATGATCATGCCAATCCTTCCCCAAGCCCAGGCTCCCTGATAGGCCTGCATCCCACTCTGACACACTGCTGCAGAGCTGTGGAACCCTCTTGTGCATAACCCAGCTGACAGCTGCACTGAGCTTTCCTTCTAGTAGTTATCATTTCCATCTGTTTTCTAAATGTAGCATTAGGATACTGAAAGTGCTTTTGCTCACAATGAGAACCAGCTTGTCACACTCCACTCAGAACCAGCATAAGCCACAAACCCATGGGGATGCACATAAGTGGCTAAGACTCTGTGACCACTTTGTTGAGTCATCATCTGACAAACAAAACACAGATAAGATCTCCAGGAATGAACCACGCCCCAAACTTCAGACACCTGCAAGCAATTGAAATGATGCTCAACCTTGCCCCACTTCCCTCAAGACTGAGTTGGTGTGGATTTGGCAAAATGCTGAGAACCCCCACAAAGGGGTTTGAATGAGGAGGCCCCCACAAAGGAGCAGCTGATGTGAAGCTTACCAGACCTATGCTGACACCAAAGCCAGGAATGCACTGCAGATCAAGGTATGCAGCAGGATGCCATTTAGGTAATGCTCAAAAATATCACTTGTGGACACTTACATGTATAAAAACAAATAGTATTTGCACATTCATGAAAATATGAATGCTTGCTTCTATGTTAATGCATAACAGTATAGAGATAGTCATGACTGTATCACACACAAACACACACACACACACACAATACACACACACAGAAACACGTAGAGGTAGAGGAACAACAGGCACCAAATCTAAGTGGGAGGGGTCAGGCAAAGGACTCAGGATGTGGACAGGAAACATGAGTGGTATCCATGTTTTACTGCTTCACAAAGGACAAAAAGGGCAAAATATACTTGTAATACTGCTGATTGGAGGTTAATAGCTTTTCATATCATAGCCTTCTATACTTTCTAGATACTTAACTCATTTTCAGTAAAACCAAGAAATATTACAAATTTCAACAATTATCTGAGATATAAGGCATAACAAACTCATTTTGCTAGAATTCAACTGGACTTGATGTGTCCTAACTAGGCATGTGAATGATGGATGCTATTGGAAACACTGGAACAGGCTCAGGGACTCTGGCCTAAAAGCAGCCAGCACAGCAGAGGGGCAGTAGCCTGTGGGCTGGGGAGTCTTAGTTGCAGCAAGGACTCTGTGCTGGGCATGGTGAGCCCCAGAGAGAAAGCATGTGCCTTGAGGCTTCCCAGTCTGAAGGAAGCCTCACTGGATATGTACAGAGCTCACAGGACACCTGCAATCTTTTTTTTTTAGCGCAGCAGGTGGTAAATAAGGCACGAGAAACAGCTCTGAGTATCACATCAGTGTTGGGATGACCTAGATCCTTAGCATAGAGCTTGCCTTTGCCTAGAGACGCAGCAGCTTTTCTTTTGCTTGCTGAACAGTGAGGCAAATTCTGGGAACAGCCTAAAAAGAAACATTTAGATTGGAGGGTCTTTGAGTTGGCTGACAGCTGACTGATGACCATCCATAAAACGACAAAGAGGAGCTGTGTGGCAGCCGGCATCACACCACCTCTCCCTGGGAACTAATTGCTCTGAATTGTTCACAGGAACATTATTTTTCTGGCAATCATTTTCTTTGAATGCCCAAAATGAGCATGAAGCAACTCTTTTCACTGGACATAAAAGTTAAATGTCCCAATGTTGATCAAATTAACTTCAGCGCTTTGACAATGGACTGTGTTTGTGAGAAAATAATAGGGGGACAGAGGGGCACTTTATGCCAAGATTTCACAGTTGTAATGTAAAAATGTCTTGTGTTGAACTAGCTAGGCTACATTTCAAAGGGGACACAGAAGAGTCCTGTCACTTGTGGAAAAAAAAATCACATTTCACAGACTCAAAGATATCAGGACATTTCCGCAGTAGGTGTCTCAGGAAGGCTGCTGTGGGTTTCTGGCTTAGTCACTCCAGATGCCCTCAAGAGCTGACCTTGGTGTTGGGAGAGGGATAAAATGCCACAGCAGAGATGAGTATAGGCATCTGAACACAAAAGTGTTCAGGCCTCTGCCTATGTAAAGACCATCGTAAGACCCCTAGGCTCTGCCATAGATGCCACTGATAGCTCCTAGACCCTCCAAACCTGCCCAGACTTCTCTGAGCCTGGCCCTTTTCATTAACCAGGGACTTTTATAACAAGATAGTCAAAGCAAAAGCTTTCATAAGTTGAACACAAAAATATATTATTTGTGATAAGAAATCTGGAGGAATACACTGAATATACTTGATCAACACTGAAATGGTAACTTATGATGTTTCAAACACCAATCCTTTTCAGTGGCTAAAGTCAAGTTGAACCGAAGGGCAGATTCTCACCAGCTGTGCTCCTGAGTGTTGGGCACCACGTGCCTCCGCTGTGAGGCACCTTTTGTGCAGTTCCCATACCATTATGGCTGATAGAAACTTAAACTCAGAGAATTTAACTCTCAAATTTAAAAAAAAAAATAAGCTTTTGATTTTTTTTTAGAATAATTGTATATTTAGAGAAAAGCTTTGAAGAGTGCCAGTTGCCTCTTGGTTTTAACATGAGGTCTTCCCCAGTTCCTGGGATAGGGATACAGAGCTGTCCTCACCCCATATCTGATGCTGGCTGCTCCTGCAGATCACACGGATCTAGGGACCTGTGGGCTGTTTGGGTAGATTAAACCAGAAGGCCGGCTCCTTGTCAGAAGCCTTCTCACTGTCTCCTGCAGCTCAGGAAAGCCCAGCAGACAATGCATACCGCGGTTCCCAGTGCTGCTGTGAATGCAGCACGGTTGGTGGCAGTGTCCATTCAAAGGGCCACTGCGGCATTGTCCTCCCCAATCAGTGTAGCAGAATGCAGTCTGCTGGTGGCTGCCAAAAGGTTAGCAGCCCTGATGAAAGGGTAGCCCATTATTCACCACTCCTACAGAGCCCCCCTTTGTGCCTGGCAGCCCAGCCCTGCACAGTGGAGGTCCGGATCTGCGGCTGGCTGAGCTCGCCACAGAAGCCATTCATGGGAATGCAAAGACATAGAAAAGTGGCCCAAAACCCCAAGGCTGCTTTTCTGGAGGCTGTAGAGGCACAACAATGTGGGGCAATGACACATTTTATGGCCTTACTACACTAACAAGCTGACCATGGTGACCAACACCAAGTAGAGAGTAGATTTCTCTTGGCTCCCAGATTCCCTGGGCTGCTCCCAAAACCCTCAGTGCCATAAAGCAAAGAGCCAACTGGGCAGGAAGATCCATATTCAACTGTGCTGTGGATGAAATCCTTGCCTGATGAGCTGCTGATTCATTGTCCAGAGGAGGATTCAGCAGCCCACGGCCCAGCTGAGAAAGGTGTTGGAAGGAAGGGCTCAAGGACACCCAACCAGGACAAAGGCAACTTCCTGGCTAAACTGAGACATGATGGTTTACATGGTGTTGTTAGTTAGGTGACATCCGTAGGACACAGACAAGCTTGGGACAATATTAGCCAGTTTTCCACTCCAGGAGCAAGTGGGTAGCAGCTGCCATAGGGCCTAACGGGGGTACTCCAGCGCAGGTATAAGTAAAGCCTGAGAAAAAGGAAGGATAAGTTGCACCCAGGCTCTTGGACTGTATGGGGACACTGGCAGTCACTGGTCATTTCCTTGAGACAAAGCATCTGAACCCCACAGCCACCTGTCAGTGCTGTGTCCCACAGAGGGTAAGGAGAGCTCAGACTATGGGCTCAGGTCTGCTTCAGGGCTCAATGTCAGTCCTAGCTAAACAGGGCATGGCTATACACAGGGCTGAGGGTTGGGCCCTTAGTGCACAATGGCAACTGCACAAACAACCAGACCACATGTCCTACATCCATGTTTTGTTTGCAGGGACTCAGTAGATACCAGCAGCAACAAAGCACTCCTTCATGCTGGAGACAGAAACCAGGAGTGATGAGACGGGAAAAGGGACCAAACCACAGGGTCCTGAGGTAGGAAGGCATGTTTCCCAGAGGTAACCAACAGCAACACTCCTGGCTAATGACAGTGAAAGAGCAGGAAGCCACCTCTACCTCCCTGTGCAGAGCACCACTTAGTAGAAATATGAAGCCATGGGCACAAAGCTGACATAGGCCTGGCTCACCACACTGCAGCCAAAGGGAGAGGGGCTGGAGAAAGGAAAGGTGCAGGTGGCTCCAGCCTTCCCTCTCTCCTAAGACATAAAGTATTGAGTCATGGCACATATACACATAAATGTACACTCACATGAGGTCCTGTATGAGCTCACAAGTGCATGCATGCATGCATACACACAAACATGTTCCCCTACTCACATCCGTACATGTGTCCATCTATATTCACACAATGCGTACATGCACATATCATGGTCATAAGGTGCAGTAGAAAGGTCCTCAGTCCAGATGTTTATACAAGAACCTCCCTGGGCTGTCCTTTCTGATGCCACCTGACTCCAGGGACCTCTCAGGATACCCCCTCAGGTCACCACTTTGCTGAGGAAGAAATGTGCCTAGTCCTCAGGGTCTTCTCTCCTGGATTTTCCCAGTGCTGCCTTCAAGAGACTCTGATAGTGCTGGATATAACACACTATGTACAACTCAGGGTGGGAACTCCTCAAACCACCTCTGTCAGGTGAGAGAGAATCCTGCACCCACCCTAATTCATCTTCTATATTCCCCTCTAGTTTCAGCCTTTGGGGCACACTGACCAGGGCACCTCTGCCCTTAGAACCACAGACAGCAGTATGACCACACCTGGGGATGTGTGGTGGCCTGGAAATAGCATCGTCCTCTGCTCAGTGCAACACCCATGCTTTTAAACATCCCATGCTTCAAGGAGATAGATAAGAAGTGCTCTGTGACTGCACGCCAAAGCCCAGGTCAAGCCCAGATCAAACCCAGGAGTGTAGGTCAAAGCCCAGGAGGTTTTGTATGGGTCAAAGACCAGAAGAGAGCAGGTGCAAGCAGAAGAAAGGCTGGGATCCTGGAACTAGAGCTCAGAGATTGAGGGGGAGGCTAGAGAGAAGCTGAGGTAGTAGATAAGGCAAAGCAGCATGAGGCACCTCATGTTCCCTTAGAAACATAATGTGATACTCCTCGCTCTGGGAAATGGGGCCTGGGTGGGGTCTCCAAGAGACATCATGGTGCATATGTGAAGGCAGAAACCACTCTGAGGAAGAAACACCTATTTTAGGCCTGTGGCAAGTGGCTGCTATAAGCCAAAGTCTATCATCGTCTGTCATTTTGACCACAGAGGTGGTAGGAGGACAGAGTTTGACTTGAGGACTGTGTAGAATGAACAGAGAATAAACCTAGACCTGGCTTCTGGGCCAAGCTTCAGTGAAAGGTCCATCTGCAAGTCAGGGGTAATACTGGTCCCAAGACCAGCCTTTCTATTAATCAGGGTACCTGTCTTCCCAGATGGTAGCCTATCAGTTCTGACTTTGTCAAAGGTCATCTGGGACATCACAGATGTTACAGACAGAGGCAGGAGCCTTGTGCATTCAGGTGGGAGAAGGCAGGGAAGCTGGGAGTCCAAACAGAAGGTAGGACATCCCCTACCCTGATGGTCACTGAAGCCACTTGTCCCTTCCTCAAGGCCTACCTCCCATCCCCAGGTACAAAGGCCTGGTTAGGTGGACAACAAAGGACAGCCCCAGGATGGAAGTGGCTCTGTAGGGCTGGGCAGTACAGTCTCCCTGAGCCGACCCTACACTGTTGCTGGGGACTGCTCTAAAGAGTCTGACCCCAAACCTAACACCCAAGGAGTGACTGAACAAGGTCAGAATTGTGAGAAAGACAATACCATGGCCAGTAGAACCTCAGGAAGTCCTCATTTTTTAAGCCCACAGCCAGAGGCAACTGTCATTATTCGGAGAGGTCTCCCTGCTGACATTTATCTTCTATTGTGCTATTTATTTTCATAGTGCTATTTTCTTTTTTCAGCTTTAATTGACTTTATTGGTACATTTTAGGGATACAGTACAGTTACATTCATTGCAATACCATGGCCAGTAGAACCTCAGGAAGTCCTCATTTTTTAAGCCCACAGCCAGAGGCAACTGTCATTATTCGGAGAGGTCTCCCTGCTGACATTTATCTTCTATTGTGCTATTTATTTTCATAGTGCTATTTTCTTTTTTCAGCTTTAATTGACTTTATTGGTACATTTTAGGGATACAGTACAGTTACATTCATTGTTGGGATCTTGTATACCAACAGTACAGTTACATTCATTGTTGGGATCTTGTACCTCTACGTGACAAGTCTTGATTCTCATTTTTTCCCCTTACCTCTGCCCTCCCTTCACCCCCTCCTCCCCTCCCCATCTACAAACACTTTATTTTCATCATCTCACATTTTTTTATTTTCCCTTTTTACTCTTCCCCTACCCATCCCACTTTCCCTACACCTTTAGCTCCTTTCTTCCCATTTCTAAATGTCAGTAATCTTATTAGAATCTTATGTATTGTTGCAGATTATTCACACCAGGGAAACTATTCAGTATTTACACATGTGTGACTTATTTATTTCACTTAGGAGTATATTTTCTTATCTTTTGACAAAATATAGAAGGAAAGGAAAGTGATGTGCATCTAGCCCACTTGCTAAGGGATTGCCTGGTAAGTGGACAGGGGATGGGATTCTATAACCTCAATGGGTTAGCATTCCCAAGGGCCATTGGCAAATAAGAAAAAAACACATCAGGGAAGTTACTTCACAGAACAGCTGCAACTGTGTTCACAAATGGCTAGAACATGGCAGCACCTACCTGTCAAGCACATAGCCCAGGGCCTTGTGCCGAATGCCTGAGTACACTGAGGGGCTTGTCTCCCAGGCCACTAAGTTGGACGCATCATGGAAAAGGTGGATGTTCACCAAGTCAAAGGCACTGCAACCAAAAGAGAAAAGAACCAGGTGACCGAGGGTCAGAGTCCTCCAGGTACCCTGAGCAGGCAGTTCCCTCTATCTCAAGAACACATGCACTAGCTCTAGCCTCCTCAGTCATATAGCCGCCAGCACCCTGGACACCTACTTACTCACCTGTCCTCTGCCATTCCAGGCCAGAGTGTGAGAACATGGGACATTCAGTTAGGTCTTCAATAAATCCTCAGAAATGCAAGTACTCTGGCCAGGTAAAAGGACAGCTATTTTTCTTTAAAGAAAAGGACATGCACAGGATTGTAGGACTTTCTGCAAGCTATAGGGTAAACTGAAAAGGAAGATGCACCTCTCTCAACCTCAGCTCCTAACAGCCCATGTAGCTCACTGAACCACTGTCAAGGGGCCCCTAACACTTCAGTAGAACAGAAACAGGAAGGCAAGACTATCCATTTCACACCCCAAAGGAAGCTTCTGACTACCATCCCAAGAAAGGCCCTCAGTTGCCCTAATGAGCTCCTCTAGGCACATGGACTTGGTGAGGCCAGAATTTGGCCCAGGTCAGCCTTTCCCACAACCTAGACAGCCTTTTGTCATCTGCAGCTGGTTGGTGGATGTGTCTATTTCAAACTATCGCTAAAGTGCTCACTGCCACATTATATCCTGTGTAACACACTGGTATTTCAGCAGTAAATACAAAGACTGAAGATGGTAAGTTTGCATTCCCCTCTCCTAACCTGTAGTTGCCAGTGTCCCCTGAAATGATGATCCTGACTCTAGTTTCCATGCCCTGGGTACCACTCCCCACAGTCTACCAGGTTGGTCTCTGAGACCAAAAGCAAAAAGCAGCAGTAGTGGTCAGTCACTTCCTAGATTAGGTCACTGTGGTCAGCCTTGGGGTCCCTCTGCTGCCTCTTCCTTCTCCCACATTCTGGACTTTGTCCTGAGCAGCTACAGGCAGGCCACATGGGAAGGAGCAGGGCTCTTCCATCACCACTCAGAAGAGTTTCCTCTGGACTTAGAAGGTCTCAGGGGCCACCAGTCTACAGGATCTGAGCCAGACCCTCAGCTGAGCTAAGAAACCATGGCTTTAATCAATGTTTGTTCTCCGAAGCTGAAAAATGATGGTGGTCTATCCTAGCAAATCCTCAGGCAATAAAGCTTCAGAAAATCTCTGGAAGGGAAGTTAAAAAAAAAGTCTCAAGTAGGATTCTACCATTTGGAAGACAGGTGGGGTGGCCACATGGAAACCACAGTAGGAAGGCAGAAACAAGTTCTTAGTTTCTTTTCATCAAGGGGCACTGTTTCTGGGAACATTCACCTGTAGAAAGCAAGGCCAATACAACAGAGTGGAGATTGCCCTACTTTGTGCTCAGACTCTTGATAAACACAAGCTTCCAGATCACCTTCACACCAATTAACTTTGCAGCCTGGGAGTCACCTAGGAGTCTCCTTGCCAGAGTGTTCATTCAGCAGGCTCTGGCACAAAAAGCTCCGGGGTGGGGTTGGGGAGCTCAGAAAAGAACCAGAGGCTTTCTACTACTTCTGCATTTGTGCTGAGCACCCAGACCTCTGACTTACAAGGAATGGGTGACAACACTTTGTGTGATGTGACATCATCCGCAAACAAAAAAGTTCAAAGGATGATAGGCAGAGGTTGTGCGGAAAGAGTCCCCATTCAAAATCAGTAGAGCCTTTGATGAGACATTTGCAATATGACGCTTGTGCAAAATACCACAAAAGGGTAAAAAATACACCAATGATTATGAAGTAGACATAATCAACTCCATGTAAATAACATACATACCAGTCAGCAATGCACCACCTTGTCCGGATGAAGCCTTTTCTTGACCACTTGCACTGAAAAACAAGGATCACACAGTAAGTACCACAAAGAGGAGCCAAAGTGCCACGCGGCTTATCTGCACTCAAGGTGTACCCAAGATGCTTCTCCAAACAGAAAAACAACCTTTTTGTGTTTAAAGTACTCTGCTAAAAGGAAGTGAAATGTGCATTTGCCACAGAGGTGAAGTTAGGGACAGCTGTTTCGCTAGGCATCCTGATGGCCAGTAAGCTGACTTGACCAAGAGAATGGCTGAAAAGTCTGAAGCAGGAGAGCAGTATGAATTGTCATCAAAACCCTTTCTTAGTGAGCCCCCACACATACCACCCCAGCACTGCCATGGAGCACATCCTTTGCCTATGGGACTGAGGCATTTATTCATGTGCAGGGCATCCCCAAGAAAAGTATAAACTATGGTCTGAATGTGTCCCACAAATTCATGTTGAAATTCAACTGCTAGTGTGATAAAACTGAGTTGGGGCCTTAGAGACGTGATTATATCACCAAGGCTCCTCCTTCCTGAATGACTAAAGCCCTTATAAAAAGGCTTGACAGAGAGAGTCTGGTCCCATTTGCCCCTTTGATCCCTTCCACCACGCAGGGACACAACATTTAGACTCTAGGAAAACAGAGCACAAGACATCATCTGAGAAGAGGACAGAGACCTCACCAGACACTGAATCTGCTGGCACCTGGACCTTGGACTTTGCAGTCTGTAAAATAAATCCCTGCTCTTGGTGAACTGCCCAACCTAGAAGTCTTCTAAGACACCTGCTAACAAGGAAGGAAAAGACTACAGAAAGCTGCTCTTGGCTTCTCCCCCATGTAAACAACAGTATGACAGAAGAGTCACTGATATTACTCATTATCTTCATGTTGGTCCTGAAGTCAGGAAGAAATGGCAGAGATAGCACAGAGGAATAGGAAGGGGTAAGACATGGGAGAGGTTGGGAAAGACCTTGCCCACAGATTTGCCATATGTAAGACAAAATGGCTTGTGTGTCCTTTCCCCAAATCACTGGGCAACTTCTGCTCATACTAATGCAGGAAGCCTGGCTGCCCAGCAGGATCTGTGGGATAATGAAAGGTTCTGGACCCAGCTTCTAAGCACCCAGTGGGAGATTTAAGACTGAACCCCAGATTCTACTTCATCTTAATTAATTTTAATTTAAATAGCCATACAGCACTGGGCTGTCTCACAGCCTAGGCAGTTTTGGGAGTGGGTATCCTGTCCCAAAGTAGGAGCCTCTCCTCCTGCATCCCCAACTCACAAGCCCCATGTAAACAAACATTCTAGGAGCAGAGGAGTTTTTGCTCCTCCTAGAATGCTAGCCACATCAGCATAGGGTGCCATCAGCATTGGCCTCGGGAGGAGCTCAGTGCCTGGTGCAGTTGACTCAGGGAGGTAGGAAAGAGGCCAGATGAGCCTTGAGGTTTATACAGTATCTGGAAGGAAGACAGAAATGAAAGGTGAAGACTGCATTTTCTCCAATGTGCCCAGGCTGTCTGCTGTAGAAGTAACCATTTGAGAATTCAGTTAAGAGTTGGTAAAATATATTCCCTACATTGCAGAAGAGTCCAGAGAAATAAACACCGGGCAATTTTGTTGTTGCATTTCTTTATTTAATAGAAATAATTCCGTGGTTAAAAAAAAAAAAAAACTCCTTGGCCAGGGATTTAGCTCAGTGGTGCTGCCACCTGCCTCACAAGTGCAAGGTCCTAAGTTCTATCCCCACTATGGAAAAAAAAAAAAAAAAGATCTTTCCTTGGTTCCACATCTCTCTTACTCATGGATCCTATTTCTTTTATTTCCCCTTATAAGCCTACTTCCTTGGATAAAAGCTGTCCAAATGTAGTACACAATTCTTGTTATGTTGTGTATCTAGATATCCCCCCAAAGCCTCATAAGCTCATAGGTAGGGCTTTTCAGAGGTGGCTGGATCTAGGGTGTGTGATACTAGGATTAAAGGTGTGTGATAACTAAATGGATTTATCACAGTTCTGGATGTAGATAATGGAAGCCTCACAATGGCTGAAGGTGGCACACATTAATAGGCTTATAGCCTGGATGGAATATAAAGGGAGAAAGGGATGACCGGCTTGTTGCTATTGCTTCTTTCTGACCACTTGGTTCCCTCTTCTGGCTGAGCCTAAGCACTTGGGGTCAGTGTTTGGGCAGGATGGCCCAAAGGAGTACAGACTACACCAAGTCATCACAGAGTGCAGGTGCCTTTCTGACACACCTCAGTGTGGCCTCCCCAAACACCCCCTCTTCACAATACACATACACCCACAAAACATCCAAATACCTACACGTAGCCACAAGCACATACATGCACACTCACACACACATATACATTCACACAAACACATGCATACACAAAGACATGGGAGTAGATAAATACATACACACATACACTCCGATGCACACACAAATGCAATTCATGTACTCAGGCACAGCATGCATGACTAGAAGTGCTATATACAGAAAATGGCCCACCACAGGTCCATGCACTTGGGCTCAACGAAGGTCTCAGGCATCACTAAACACAGATGCTGTTACTTGGCCCATTGCAAATGGAAGCAGAACATGTATGGGTAGGGGTCCTCAAATGGTTGATGAGTCTCTTCCATTCTGATTATGTTATAGAACTTTCTGGTCATTGACAACTTTCTGAAACCTTCATCTGTGGACTCCCAGACCAGAGATGGTGGCAACTCCACACTCCTGGGGTGGCCACACCCCCGGTCTGGTGTGGTTCTTTTCTTGGAGGCACCCTCATTGCAGAAATGAAAACCACACCACACACAGAGCCAGGGGGCAAAGGGTAGCACATCTCTCACTCACCACATGCAGTCTCTGCTTAGGTCCCCTGTTAATAGGGTTCCTTGAACCAGCAGATGGATTGCAAATACAGGCGGTTTCATCTACTAAAAGACAGCATAAATCGCAGTGGAGAAAAGAAGGGCTGCAGGGAGGTTATCACCATGCAGCCCTGCTGTGAAAAGCCCACTCAGAGCATTAGTGGAATTAATTCATCTTTCATAGGAGCTTGCAGCAGGGTCTGTGATCTATGGTAACAACCAATTTCTCACTACGGGCAAGAGGAAAAAAATGACTCGTCTCGATCGACTACACAAATCTGCTTTTTAAAAATGGCCTCACATTATCTGGAGTGTTGCTCCCAGAGGCGTCATTTGAAATTCATACTGAGCCAAAAGCACCCATAAATCAACAGAGAAAGTTTTGTTAGTTTTAGATGCAGTGGGCTATAATTATTTGGAATTGCATTATGCCTCCATCACAGTAATTACATTTAGATTATCCTTAAGTGATGGTAATAAAAGAAAGAGAAATCAGTCTTATACTAATTCCCTCCCCCAAAATGTGCTAGAACATAGCACAAGGCTGGCAGGAAGGCCCAGACAGGCAAGCTCAGGCATTGCTCTATGGCTCTGGCCATAGCTGGTCCCTGGGCAAGGCTCCAGGATGGGAGAATCAGCACTCCTACTCTCAAGAGTGTAACACACTTTGTGAAGGTCTGCATGATAAAAAATACAACACTGCTGACAGAATGTTGAAAGTTTGTAGTTTTTAAATAAGAATTTTCTTCTATTAATTACCAGGATAAAAGGAAGTGTATGAATGCATCTGCATAACACATGCCACAAGGGCAAATACAGGGCTTTCTGTGATAGGTTCCCACACAATGAACCCAGGAATACTAATGCCCCAGCAGGTCCAGGCACCCATTACCACAGGATCTGCCGATCAGTGACTACCAGGCTATCAACAGCCACTCATTGCTCTCCCAGTCAAGACAGGTCCACCCAGACACCCATGGCCTTTCCTATGAGTTCATGTTTCAAAAGTGCATTTTTTTCCTTTGCCTATAGACATGACAATATGTTCCTGGAGCTAGGTCTGCTGAATATATGAAGGCCAGGGACCCTGCCTGGGGCCACTTTTCTGTGGGGGGAGACAGCTCCTCATATACTGCTTTCAAACCATGCCTCACTCTGCCACTGCCACAAATGGATAGAGCACTAACCACTGGGGGTGAATCCAGGGCACTCTATCTTTTCAGAGTGGCAGAGCAAAGCAAAGGCCTCTAGCCTTGGCTCTCCATACTGACAGGGAGAGAAGGAGGGTGCTGGATAGGAGAGATCCAAAGCTGAGGGTTGGGGTAAGAAGGCCCTAGAAGGAGTCCTTCTGGCTAGGGATGCAGGGGCTGCTCAACAATTACAGCTTATGGCACAGAGAAGTCAGGATCTTCCAAGGCATCTCTGGAAGAACCACAGAGTGCTCAATGTGAGCTGTCCCACGTGGTGCCCAGTTCTCTCAGTCTCTGCTCTTCCCTGAGCATGCCTCTCAGACTCCTTAGTGCTAAAGGTGAAACATGATGAGAGAATCCACCAACCTCAATTCTGGAATTGTAAGGAGTAAGGTGAAGGTGTGGGACACCAAAGAGCCTGCATATGGTCCTGGGGCATGAAGGCTGCCCACCAGGTTCTCAAAGGGAAAAACTTCACACAGAAACAATAAACAACGGATATAACTACACTTGTGGCAACATAAAACACTGCTCATGGTGGCAGGCTCCTCGATGCAAAACAGACACATGTGCAAGGCTCTTGGACAGAGGGAAGATGCCATCTTCAGGAGAAGATCTCACAAAAGAGTAAAGCAGGAGACAACAGAGAGCTTCACTGGCAATGAAATGAACACACTCACAACTGCTCTTCATCTGTATGGGGTCTATGGCACCTGTTGTTGATTCATCACACTTCTCAATATTTGAGACAGTGTAAAGTCACATTTAAAGAAGAAAGTTTTAACGAAAGATACACGAATTGTTTGGGAGGGGTGCCTCAATGTTCCCCCTTGCAATCATCACATGTACTATCACTTATGCCCATGTCTAGCACTGCCCATCTTTAATCCATCCCATGTGTCTTGCAAGGATATATCAAAACCACAGAGCAGGGTATCTGCTGCCTGTCCTGGGACCAGTTCTGGATTCCCAGCCCCACCTCAAGCTTCCCCCATTTCAGTCCCTCAATTCTGCTCTAGTCATTCTGAGATGAGAGCCTGGGTCAGTTCCAGCCCCAAAGAGCCTCCAAATGAGTAAGGGTGAACATAGGGTGGACAGAAGTCCAAGATCAGCTGTGAACAGGCTCAGAGGCCAGCATCTGTGGCTTCTTCAAGGGAACCACAGCACTGGGTCATTCTGTGGGAATGCCACCACATTCAGGGAATGTTTTTGTCATGATACAAGAATGTGGCTGTACATGGAAGGTCCCATAGCTTCCCTGCCATCTTCCACCAGATCAGAATACACAGTGTGAAGGGAGACAAAGAAGCAGAGCCAAGAGGCTTGCCTGAGTCAGCTGAGGACAGGAGGATGGCCCACTGATACCATATGTTTGGCCTGGGACGATGAATGAGTAAGATGAGCCACAGGGTGACAGGAATGCCCATCCTTCATGAAGATAGCCACAATCCCTTCACTCAAGGCACAAGTCATAAAGCAAGTTAATAAAGTTGTGGCCTTGCTGAAAATAAGCTCTTTAGGCAGGCACAGCTAGCTGCAGTGAAGGAAGTGCAGAGCATTCCTTCCAGGAACTATAGAGATGAGACCTACATGGCTCCCATGTCACAGCAAGGGTAAGACATGCCAGAATGATGGGCAAAGAGCCTTTAGGAAATGATACCCAGTCCTTCACTTCAGCATCCAAAATGCTTCTGGTCAAGGTAAGCAAACCATACTAAGGCTTAACAGATGCTGAAGGCGCATGGTAAGAAACTGTGGATTATTATGTGAAGGCTCCAAAAATGCTGGCTGTAAGCCTTACTAAAAAGTAATAGAATCCAAAACTGCACAGTCAAATAGCTGCATAAAATAACACATACAACACTAAACAGAAAAAGCATTAAAATCCCAAAGAAATAAATCAGCATTTTATGATAACTGAGACTAGGCAGTAAGACAGGAAATAAATCCCTGACTTTTTTTGGGGGGTGGGGTATTCTGTCGGGTGGTGGTGGTGGTAGTGTGGTGGCAGAGACTGAACTCAGAGCCTCATACATGCTAGGCAAGCATCTTACCATTGTGCTATACCTCAGCCCACTCCCAGACTTTATAATTTCTAAACTCTCCACGAGAAATGGACACAACCAGAGAAGTATCACCTGCTTCATAATGATTGCTATTTCCTCACTTGCTGGTGTCACCCCAAGTCCTCATCTGTGAATGGGAATCTAGCCCCATCCTGTGCCTGCTGGGGAAGATGACAGATGTACCATGCCATACAGTCCCGACACACCCTAACCACACAACTTCCACCCACTGAGCTGGCTGTTCCTGCCAGCCAGACTGACCCCTCACACCAGTAGGAACCCATGCTCACCGGGCAAGCTAGGTGATACTTTCCTGCATCTTTTGGGGGAGGTGCTTTTGCCTGGAAATGACAAATACAGAATTTACAGGCTAAAAATGAACAGCTTAGACTCCCTCCGCCCTTATCTAGGGCAGCCCAAACCAACCACCCACAATGGTTTAGAACCTCCTGGAAAGACACAGTGATGGAGCGTCAATGCCAGACTATCACCCCTACTCCCTACAGTGGAGCATGGCAGTTTGGAGCTAAATTTCACTTCTGACTTGCTTATTCTGGAAAGCGTATGTGCTGATGAGAGCCCAAAACATTCCTGGTTACGCACCTCTGGGAAGTAGTCTTGCGGGAACTTCTCCTTCTCCAGCATTGGTGTGCTCTCTAAAGTATCTGAATAGATCTCTTTGCCAGTGACTTTTTTATACTTCTTTGCTGGAAAAGACCAAAAAGATGACTTGAAATTTTCAATGTTACATGCTATCCAAGGATCCAGGTGCCACAGAGGGTCCGTGCCCACCCGAGTAGCCTCAGGGAGCCAGCAAGCCCTGAGCAGAGAAGCCGACAAGGGTCTTCCCCTGAGCAGCTGCTCCAGGGATGCCTGCAGCTCGTAAATTCCTGTTCCACGACCTGAAATCTGACACTCCACTTCATTATCCCCTAAGAGCTCCCAGCTTGCAGATTTACAGGGGCTAATTGGCACCCTCTTTTAAAGCACTGGATATATTGAAGAGGGCTATGGAATTACTATTCAGTGAGACCTTCACATGAATTTATTTAATAACATCGATTTCCTCCTCGCACATGGCCCACATCACTCATATTCCAGGGAAGAGTTTTTATGTGAGATGGAGGGAGGGACACAGGATGGGCGTTTTCCAGACCTGCTCTGCCAGCTATCACCCAGACTTCTCTGGGGCACCCAGGTGATACGGCTCCCAAAGGACTCCCTAGGCTGACAGGTCTATAGGCCCCTTTCCTTCTGTGAACTGGCATCCCCATGCCCTCATTGGTGTAAGACAATGAGTGTGTGAATCCATTCCTCAAAGCCGTAATAGGCTGGAGGCTGACAGCTGCTGGCCTCTGCAAGATGCTATGAGGAACACAGATAAAACACAGCCTCTAAGGCCACCCAGGAGCAGTGGCCTGGGAACAGGGCCCTGACCTGGTCCTTCAGCTGCCAGCCTCAGCAGGCCAAGTTCTTCTGGGCTGAGAAGGAATGCTATGAGCTAAAGCTTCTGGGGTGTTGGGCAGATTCTTCGGAGACAAGCTTTGAAATGAGTAGCTAGCTATGCTTCCAGCATTTCATGGGAAATCTTTATGTACCATGAACAGCTGGAACCTTCAGTTTTTGGAGCACTGTCCACTCTACAGACATAGATAGGACATCAGAAGCTGACTGAGGTATGCAGTGCTATGTGCCAGGGCTGGGCTCTCCTCACATCAGGGTACAGGGTGAACCCCAGGCAGAACCAAAATGCCAGTGCTAAGGAGGTAAGGTTGAGCCATACACACAGCTTCAAGGAGACCATGATGCCATTTCATTGTGTATGGAATGTGGAAAGGAAGAGTAATCAGAGCTCATCCTCTAGATGCAGTGCTGTGTACTAACCAAACTACATTACCTCTGATCACATTTCCCAGACATGGAAATGACCCCTACAAGCCTTAGGCACACTTAGTTCCACCAACACCACCATCTTCTCTACTGTTTCCCCACTCAGAGAAAGTGAAGATAGCTCCAGGCAGATGAAAACAGGGTCACACAGGTTCAAGTATCATCTAAGCCAATAAGCAGAGCAGAGGTGCACTTAACCCCAACTGCACTCACTGCAAATGGTCACACATCCTGTAGAGAACAGTGTTTAGCACATATGGTACTTAGACAGAGTTGGGCTGTGGTGGTCCAAGTAGCAGCCACATTTGAGAAGGGTCAGCACCGCTGGACAGCTGGCCTCTTATGAATCAAGACACAATTTGGGGTATAGGGAAGAGCCTGGCACAAACCACTACACAGTGCAGAGCCAGCCTGCTGCTTGGTACCCCAACCTGTCCTATATCCAACCATAGCCATCTGAAGCTTTCTCCTGGACATCCAGATCCTGAAAGAGGCCCAGCTCATACACCCTTTCTAGCTATAAGCCCACCCTTATGGAATGTCACTGACCATCATGGATCCTAGGCCAGACATTAGGACATGACAAAGGGACCTGAACACAGGGAAAGGATGTGGACATAGGATCTGGTGTAGATTTCCTGATGCACAGGCCTGGGGGCTGTACCATCCCAGGAGAGATCTGGAAGAGCCCCATGCATGCAAATATTACTACTTGAGTGTGGCCAGGTCTTGATGGAATAGCAAGAACAGAGAGTGAGAAGCAGGAAAGATGATGGTTCAGACAGAGGAAGCACAACAACAGGAAGGACAGTGCAGACCATTATCTTAGGGTAGCTATCTGGGAGAAGAGTACAAATAGCAAGGAGGGGAGGGGAGCACCCAGAGCCCTGAGCAGGCCATTAAAAAACCTGTCTCAAGCCTGCATGGATGCCCTGCTTGGGACTCCAGAAGGCATCTCTACAAACCCCTAATCCCTGACAAGGGCTTCTGCTCCCATGACGTCCCTCCCGCACACAGTCACAGTACAGTCTAGTGATTAGGTCTGTTCACTACATACATTCCCACAGCAACAATGCTGGGCAGGCCCAGCTCAGATGGGACAGAGCTGAGTGAAAGGCAAGAGTTTTGACTGTTAGAGCACTGAGCAGAAACACACAGCCACTCCCTGGACATCCAGTCATTGACCTACAGCTGTGGGAATACCCATCCTGCTTCTTATCAGTCACGGGCTGAGTTTCACCTGCTCCTGAAATGGAAGAAAAATGTCCACGCTCAAGTGTGTTCAGTATAGGGCTCCTCACAGCAAAGCTGCAAGTTCCACAACACCTCTCCTACAGGCCTGGTCACTCAGCTGAAGGTGCCCTTCACAGGACAGACACCACACACACATGCACAGGTGCAGAAAGAGCCACAGCACACAATCACTAGAAAGCAGTGTGGTCTGCAGGGTCTACAGTGTTTCGTGTAAATAAAGGTGGGGAGGTAGTGATGGCTATAGGAAAGCACTATGCTTGATAAGAAACCCAAGGGAATACTGTTTCTCTTTAAGGTCTATGAAGAGGTAGGAGAGGAAAGTAGACTTTCATTTTTTAAAACAGACTGTTTTTAGAACAGTCTTAAAAATTTACAGAAGATACAGCAGCAAATGGAGCATTCCCATGTGTCCCTGTTCTACCCACACTCAGCTTCCCTACTACTTGAATCCTGAATTAAAGAAGTTAAACTAACAAAACAAGTATTGATTTATAATTACCAAAAGAAGGTCCCCCATTTACTTCAGGCTTTTCTCTTCCTGATGTACATCAGATGAATCCTGACACATGCATAAAAATGTTATCTGTCCACTGTTATAGAATCATATAGAGCAGTTTCTCTGCCTTACAAAACCTGTATAATGCACAGACCCACCTCTCTACCCTTCCCTAGGCCCTGGCAGCCACTGATCTTTCACTATTCCACAGATTTATCTTTTCCAGAATGGACTCCTGCAGCAAACACCTTTTCAAACCAGATTCTTTCATCTGGCTGAGTTTTTGTGTTGCTGACAACACTCTACGATAAAGATGTGCACTCTGCTCACCACTCACCTAGGACACTGAAGAGGATGTCTGGAAGTGAGTAGTGTCTACCCTCTGACTTTGTTTCTTCAATATTTTTTGTGTTGGTAATTTGGGGATTTTTCTCCCCATGTAATCTTTCTAACCAGGCATTTTGATAGGAATTGTGTTTCAACTATAGGTCAAATCAGGAAAAACTGAGACAGTGAGTTGACAATATTTTCTTCCTAATTTTCCAAGTTCACTCTCTGTAAGCCTAAGATCAAGATGCCAGTAGATTCAATGTCTGGTGAGGGCCCATTCCTCACAGATGGTGCCTTGCATGTTCTCACATGCTGAATAGAGCAAGCAGGCTCCCTTGGATCTCTTACAAGGACATTAATTCCATTCACAAGGGCTGGGCCCTCATGACCTAGTCATCTCCCAAGGGCCTTACTTCCTAATATTATATATAACTTTGATAGTTAGAATTTCAAAATAGGAATTTTGGAAGGACATAAACTTTCTGACCATAGTGTTATCCACAAAGATGGACTGTCTCCATTTATCTACCTCTTTGATTTCTTTCATAAGTTTTGTTCTCCTCAGATATTATTTTCAAATCATATTATTAATGAATATTCCTAAGTACTTCCCTTTTGTGTGTGCTGATATAAAAAGTTTTTCATTTCAAATTTCACTCAATATTTGTGCTTACACAGGAAAGCAATTAACTTCTGTATATTAACTATATACCCTGTAATTTCTTATTCCTATAACTCAGTATTTTTCTAAATAGATATTAATTTCATCTGAGAAGAAAGACAGCTCCATCCCCTACTCCATCCTGAAAGTATGCCCTTTATTTCCTTTAGTCTTTATGCATTGGCTATGATTTCCATTAATATGTGGAAGGGGCGGAGAGAAGACATCCTTGCCTTGCTCCTGATCTTTTCCTCAAATCTCTCATTTTCTAATTTCTTATTAATTTTGATGTTAGCTATAGATTCTCTTATAAATGTTTTAAATTAAGTTAAGAGATTTCCCCTCTACTTATAGTATGTTGAGAGCTTTTAGCATGAATGGGTGTTGGAATTCTGTAAAATGTGTTTTCTGCATCTATCGATATCATACCTGTGCTGTGGTTTAGGGTAATCCCCCACCCACAACCTCAGGTGTTTGGTGGGTGACTGCTCATGGGGGCTCTGTACTTATCAGCAGATTCATCTAATGAGTTCAGGGCTGTTAGGAGGTGAACCCGGTTGGATGTGGGTAACTGCGGGTATGACTGGAAAAGTGTATTCTTGTTGCTAGCTCCTCCCTTTTCTGTTTCCTGGCTGCCATGATCTGAGCAGCATTTTATCCACCATCCCTATCTGCCATGCTGTTTCTGCCTTGGAATCAGTTTACCATGGAATGAACCCACTGAAACTCTAAGCCACAATAAACCTCGCCTCAATTTGTATGTGTTGGATATTTTGTCCCACTGACAAGAAAGTAAGACAGGTTTTGATACCCCTGAATGCAAGCATTTCTGTGATGGTTCAGAAGTATCTAGAACTGATTTGTGGGAAGAATTTAGAAAGTCTTAGACATTAAGGCACAAAAGCCCTAAAAGGCTATAAGCCAAGCTTGATGGATGATTCTGATCAGAGCTTAGAAAGAACAACAAAATGCTAATAAAAATGAGGACAGTAAAGACCAACTTCAGCAGGTTTCAGTTGGGAACAAAGACTCCATTGGCAGTTGGACTAGAGACTATGTGTATTACATTCTGGCAG